AGAATAATATATATATATATATATAACATAGTGAGAGAATAGCATGCAGTACCAATGCAAGTTTTTAATATTAATTATATTATTATTTTAAATAACTCTGTTTTATTATTACTATTGCATCCTGATTATTGTATTTCATTATTACTATTGTATTATTATTATTTATTGTATTATACAAAATCACAATAATAATAATAATAATAATAATAACAATATTAATAAAAATAATATATAGAATAACATATATATATAAGGTAGTGAGAGAAAAGCTTGCTGTACCTATGCAATTTCTTGGTCCATCCCCGAATGGCAAGAAGAACATAGGATGTCTAGTCTTGGCTTGCTCATCGGTGAATCTCTCAGGATCAAAATTAGCCGGTTCTGGATAAATTTCCGGATCTCTTTGAATCGCGCGAACCGGTAAGTAGACTTGCTGTCCCTTCTCTACGCTAATTTTTGTCCCCGGGAACGTGTAATCCTGTAAAGCTGTTCTCGACAGCCACAACAGCACTGGGTACTTTCTCAATGTTTCTGTAAAAGGAAAATCAGAAGCAACGGTATTCGAATAAATTTGACGTGCACACAACAAACTTTTAATCGATAAACAACACACTGAAACTCCTTTGATCACTATACTATTATACTTTGTCGTTCGTACTGACAAAGAACTGAATATTTCATTAGTTGTATCGAAAAATAAATTTAATATTCCTGCATATATTAAAAATTAATTGAATAATTCTCTATTTATTTTTAAATGTAACTTAATAAATTATTTATTTATTTACGCCTAAAAATAATTTAGAGCTTTATTATTTGTATTAAAAAATAATCTATACTTGTTCTCCTTATATCAAAGGAACTAGTAATTAAGGTACATAGGATACTTCCAAAAATCATTGAACAAGTTTTATAATAAAATTACATCTTTTTCTACTTAGAATCAAGTTAATTCAAACTTCTTTAAACCTTATTTATAATTTAAATTAATACAACATTTTTTGAAACGATATTCGTCTCCACTATGATACTTGTCAGTACATAATTGATAATATTTATATACTGCATAACGAAATACTATCTCTTTAACACTTATCAGTACATAATTGATACTATTTATGTACCACATAACGAAATACTTGTGCTAGTGGTTACATAGATTTTTGAGTATATATGTGTTGAGATGAGTGGAACAAGTATGCATGGGATTCCAATATGTAATGAATTCAGGTTATTATGATAAATGAGTATGCGTGTAATGATTGAGTTGTGTGTGAATTGTGTACGTGAATGTAATGTATGAAGAAGAAAGAAAAAAAGGTGAATAATTTTGGATACGTTAGTTGCAATTGAGTTATAATAGCGAGAAGTCCTGTGATAGAGTAATTGTGAGAAATTAATTATATTTAAACGTTATATTTGTGTTTTACAATCTTTCTAATTAAATAAAGAATTGTTCTTGTTGTTATTAAAATTTCATCCACCACTAACAATACTATCTCTTTAATACTTTTACTGCCACATTGGTCATATATGACCAGCCATGGTTTCTCCTGTGACACCACGGTGGTCATTGGTGACCAGAGGGCTTGAACTACTTGAACAACATCGAATTATATCGAATGAAAATTAACCTAACCGCTAATTAGAAGATACTTTGGAATAAAAAGTGCCCCATTGAACAATTAAAAATTTTTATTAACACATCAGAAAAATATTAGAACTAATCTTGCATCTAGCTGTGCACTCCCATGGTGTCTCGAGGGAAACATGGGATTTCGACGTGGCTGTCAAAGGGTTAAGAATTGTGGGTAATATACCTTGGAAACATGCATCCAAATATTTCATTTCCTTAATGCAGTCATACGTGATCACGCCATTGGTTTTTGCCAAAACTTCCAGTACTTCTGCTCGAACTTTCTCCTGAATCAATGGATTCTTTGCAAACTCTATTATTATGTGGCTAATCGTTAGGGAAGACGTTTCGAATCCAGCAGAAAAGAAAACAAAGGCCTGGGCCGCCAGAAATGTATCGTCTGCTTCTGCACCTATAACATTGTATTTCGAATGAATATAAAGATGTATTATCTCGCAGAGTAAATACAGACACTTTGTTTTTCGCTTCAAATCACTTTGTCTTTAGCAAATCATATTTCGCGTGAAAGATGAAAAAAAATTTTAAAAAAGAGGTATAAATATCATGTTTTACTAGTTTCATAAAAATCGTGTAATTATAAAGTTAATTTAAAAATGAAGCTTGTACCAAGCAGAAGATAAAAATATTCTTATTTATAGCTCACTGATTAGCGACGACGTTCTCAATTTCAACTCGAAAAGAAGAAATTAATTCACGACAAATACTTACGTGGCACAAGATACTGGTGTGCTTCAGAGGAGAATGTGTAATTTTGATAATTTTGTTTACTCTTTACATTTTTAAATCGCTTATCGAATTGAAAAACTTTCCAATTCTTTCCGATCTTTCATTAATATTTTGATAATTTAACCTTTGTTACCATCAAATTTCTCGAGTATATATATCGTGAAGAAAATTAAAGAAAAATTCTCAGAATAGTATCTAATTTCAGATTGGAATATCATATTAATTATTCCAAACGTGTGATATCTGGATCATTTTTTATCACATCTCTATCTCACTTTTTATCATGTTTGTACGTGTATTTTGGAAGTTACTTCGTATCCAATTTGAATTATCTTTTTTAAAAATGTATTTTGTACCATATATGCATATATCTCACTTCTAATTATATATGTGCCTGTGATTATGAAAGTGGTCTAAGTCACTTATATTTGCTTCTGAAATTTTAAAAGCTTCGGCCTTTAAATACGCGATAAATTATGAAATTAATTGCGATAAAGCTACAAACTCAATCTAACGATTCGATTCTTCACTGTTTTGTAGAAAATAAATATATTTTGTCGTAATATAAATGAATGCAACACGAAATAAATAATAAAATCGTTCCTCTTAAGTCGATGACTTAGACCACTTTTATAATTATAGGCACATATGTATGGGTAAATACTATGTTTCTTTCATTAGAATGGATCTTATTGTTAGACTAAGATATAAAGCACAGAATACAGGGTGAGTCAATTAAGTTAGAACTGAATCAAATTTGCATGTAAAATTTTAAACAGCAAACTCTTTTTAATTAAAATAGAATATAATTTCTTCATTGTTGATGAATAATACTATAATATACTATAATGATACTATAACTACTATAGCAATTGGATTAATATATTCACTGATCATCTAAGTTCCATAGCAATTCTAGAATGATCAATAGATCGATCAGTTATCCCTCGAGATATTGCCAAATGACAATAAAGTACTGAGTACAGCCTTCTACACAATTAGTCGCAGTAACTTTTATATATATTTATATATATATTTATTATTTAATAAAATCAGGATTAAATAAAATACACCTACTCCCATTAGAACAGTTTCTGTAGTGACATCAGTGGTGTTCAAAGAACCGAAGTTTCGAAATGTTACACAGACATAACCTCACTTTTCAACTTCCAAACTTGCTCCTAAAGAGAGTTCCATGTGGATCAAAGCCTAAGACAAAAACGAAAATAGAATTCAAAAGTACCTTACTTTTCTGTCCAAGTTTCTCCGGATGTTGCTTCAGATCCACCAATGTGTCAACAAAATCGTATCTTCGCACGTTGTTCTTGATCCTGTAGTCTATAGCCTCCTTCGTGATCTTCGTGAAGAACTCAACGATGTCTTGATCGACAGTGAACGGTCCAAGGACCTTAAACAACCACGGGAAATCCCTCAGTCTGTCTCTAAACACCGACTTTAAGCTCGTTTGAAAGATTTTCTTGCCCATCCGGCGAAACTCGCTGTCTTCAGAGGCGAGTGCATTTATCTCGATACCGAAGGCGCAAGAACCGATCACGTCGGTGGTGAATTTCGCAGCGATGTCACGACACTCGATGAACTCTCCCTTCTCCACTACGTTGTCCAGATACTTTTCAAATTGGTTCGCGCACTCTACCAACAAGTGAAACATCTCCTTCAGCTTGCCGGAGGTGAAGACAGGCGAAAGTCTGGCTCTTAAAGGCCTCCATCTCTCTGAATCCAGTATGAAGAGGTGTTCGTTTAATGGCTCCACCTGAAAAATATGCAACGATAGATGTACCTGATAAATTGATGGACTAGTTGGAGTCTCATTGGCGTCCATAAGAATATTTCAATATTCGTAGAGAGATTGCTATACCTATTAGGGTCACAAAATATTGTCCAATTAGTAAACAATTTATTCTAGCATTGAAAAATAAGGAAATGTATAGTAAATATTCGGAATCATGAATCACAATACTAGTCTGTAGCATGTGATCAGTTTAGTTTATTTTGCTGTTACGAGGTCGATTAACTCTTTGGGCTACGACCACGTGTGAGACTCGTGGTCGGGTTTCCGAGCCGAAACTGATTATCACGAGCCAGGCACGTGGTGCATCGGTCGGGTCAAGACTGACTATCACGGGCCTGGAACGTGGTACGTCGGTCAGGCCAAGTGTAAATACCACGTGTAACGCTCGTGGTTTGTTGATGTGCCCCACTTCGATTAACCTTTATTGTTTGTTGTTTAATTTAATATATCATTTAGTTTGAATCATTTATTTGTTTTTAATTTTTCACTTGGATTTTTGTAATTTATTAAATTAACTTTTCCCGAATTATATTTTTCTAATAGGTACGACATCCCACGTAAGTCGTATGCAACTGGTATAACTTAAGGCAGATTTGCCGAGCCGTGGAATGGCTCGAAGGCTCGGCAGTTTTGTTTACGTTTTGGGACCACGCTGTTGAATCTTAAATCGTAGGACAAGGGGTTAATAATAATTTTAATAATTTTTGTAATTCTATTATCTTATTACATTATATTATACTTTTACTTTATTATAGAAAATATACTCATATCGAGCTTTTTAATTAACATTATCACGTAAAATATTTTGACCACAGTTATAATTTTGTACAGATTCCTACAAAAAGATCGTGATTAGTACTGTTCTCTACCCAGTATTGTCTAGAAATCAAATTAAATTTGAAAATTTTACACGAGCTTAATAAAGTAGTGAATTGTTACGAATCGTTGAATTGGTCCTCTTTTTATATCAATAATTTGTATTTTTAATTTTTATATTATTTTTCATGTTTATTTTTTTTATTCATTCTTTTTGTAAACGGTATTCACTTTTTCTTTCTTAATTTTAACGACATTCAAGATGGTATCCATCGTTCGTGATACACTCTTGTAATTGATTAAATAAAATTATCTTTCACTTACTGATAAACGTTAAGTACTGAGTTGCAAATCTTTATATTAAAAAGAGAATAAAAGACAGCTTGATGAAATGTAATATATCGTCTGCTCAGTAATAAGAAAATAGAAGCAAGCTTTAAAAATTCCACTTAGAAACTGTTATCATTTGTAACGTTACTATAAATTTCCCATGTTACGCAGATCAGTTACAAATATCATGTTGATGTGATCAAAATAATGATACACGATTGTTACGTATGCACAGTACAATATTACATACCGATGGCAGAGAGTGGAACGTCCTGTCAGCAAATATGGAGAAATCTTTAATGAGAACATTCTTTATAATTTCCGGGTCCCTCAGTACCAACAGTGGCGTATGTCCGACGTACAGTCCAACCACCTTCTCATTTCTAAAATTATAGTACGCTTCTTCGAAACAGTCGTTTACAGAGGCTTTTCCCAGAAATATATCCTTGAAGTTGCCAACGAAAGGTAACGGCTTTGGTCCTTTGATGTCTCGTTTATGCCAATACTCTAATTTCGATTTCGAGTAATAATACAGCAGGACCAATAAAGTGACTGCTAATCCAATTGTCTCGATCACTGGCCAAGTCATCCTATTGTATATAATTTCCTGACTTATTAGTCTTCAAACTTTTCTTCCAAAACACTGTTCACCAACATGAATCTCCCTGCTTCAGAACCGAGGGAACAACAGCAACGTATCGGTTCACAGCGAGTCTACCCCCTCCTAATTCTAAACCTCAATCGCGATCACCGTTTCTGTTCACGTCCGGGATCACAGTGCTTACTTATTCAGCCCGATATCTCCGAAGAATTCAGTCCTGTTAGTATGACTTGCAAGTTGACATAATCTTCTGTTAACTCGCAACTGTCTGAGATTGTCGAGATGGCTCGCGAGAAACATTTCTCCGCGCGGAGATACGCCGTTGATTCGTCTACTCTCCATACTGGTATCCCTAGCGCCACCTCTCCTGCGCGTCAGTAACTACCGCGTTGCGTTATGGAGGCCAGACGCCGAACCGGTTAACCTAACCGGTTATTATACTCGCTGTCGAAAGGAAAACAGTGGAAAGTCATTCACGCTGTGATATTTGAATTCATTTACTCTGCGATAAGCGTCTGATTCTTATTGATCGTGTCGAATTTGTTCGAGTATCCGAGTAATTCGAAATTCGGAACGAATTGAGTAAGGAAGTTCAGAAAATCGAATAGTTCAAGAGAAACCTAATGACTCGGACGAAATTGAATATGTAAATCGTGATTCAAATTGCTCGTTTTCTTTAGGATCACTTTAAGTTCGGTTTTAAGTTCGATTTAATCCGAATCATTCAGTTTCTTTCGAATCATTTGATTCTTTTGACCCTTTTGGATTTTTCAAGAGAAACCTAATGACTCGGACGAAATTGAATACATAAATCGTCATTCAAATTGCCCGTTTTCTTTTTAAGACCATTTTAAGTTCGGTTTTAAGTTCGATTTAATCCGAATCATTCAGTTTCTTTCGAATCATTTGATTCTTTTGACCCTTTTGGATTTTTCAAGGGAAACCTAATAACTCGGACGAAATTGAATATGTAAATCGTGATTCAAATTGCTCGTTTTCTTTAGGATCACTTTAAGTTCGGTTTTAAGTTCGATTTAATCCGAATCATTCAGTTTCTTTCGAATCATTTGATTCTTTTGACCCTTTTGGATTTTTCAAGAGAAACCTAATGACTCGGACGAAATTGAATACATAAATCGTCATTCAAATTGCCCGTTTTCTTTTTAAGACCATTTTAAATTCGGTTTTAAGTTCGATTTATTCTTATCTGAATCATTCAGTTTCTTTCGAATCATTTGATTCTTTTGACCCTTTTGGATTCCTTCGAACCATGCAACGTTTGACAACAAAACTTCCCCATATCTGAGAAATAACATAACCAATTATGTACTATAACAAATTATTCACTTATTAGCGAACAATTATAATGAAAAATTATTCTGTCATAAATAGTCGTACATAAAGGAATCATCAGGATAATAAACTTAGATTTGGGTTAGATTAAGTACACAACAAAACCAGTAAAAATCAACTTATTTACAATGAAAACAACCAATGTGGTCAAATTATGTCGCTCACCCTGTATTTATAACGAATCTCAAAAATTGGAGCACAATGTACTAATTACTTTCAAAATACCCAAAATTAATTAGTATAGCAGGAAAATGTAAATCTATGCAGTCCAATGGAGACTACAACTACCTCCTTATTGCAGAAACTCAGCAATGCCTGGTCACAGTAATAGATTTTTCACAGTGTTACCAATGCAGTTCCTTGAACCATCTAAAGCAGCTAGATGGATCTTCGGATTTGCTGACACGGAATCCTCCTTCGTGAACTGATCTCTAGGGATCGCGGAGATCCGACGCGGAGTAAATATTGAGATCACGATGAATCGCGTAGATCGCCGTATGACCGTTTCGTATAACGACTTTTGCCCCTGTAAAACTATAAGGTATCAGAAAAGATTTACTCCGGGGAGATAACCCCTGTGGCTTGGCCGATTTAGGTGTAATAACAGAAATAACAGCCACGACATTCCTGTTCCGTGATATTAATTTATGTCGAACAGATACGATACGGCTAACAAGGAGAGTGCAAGTCCATCGGGTCACCGATTTTGGTTCAAATTTTACAGGTTTATAGATCTTGTCATGCAGTTTAAGAAAATGTACCATTATAGCAGCAACTATTCAGTAGTTTTCGAGATATTTGCGATTAAAGTTTTATTACTTTGCTAATTAAACCTTTATTTTCGATATATTTTAATTGGAATTGTAGCCTAACGGTGATAGTCGAGAATTTCTATGCTCGAGGACCCGGAGTTCGATTCCGGTTAGTATTTTTTTTTCAATCTATTTTTTAATTTCTATTCATTTTTCGCCTATGAAAACATTGTGAATAAACAATTGTAAATAAATCTTTTTAATAAACAAATTTATTCTTTACCCTTTCCTAGGCCAGTATATATTTATTACTTAATAAGAATATTATGTAAGAAAAACACTTTTTTATAGCAATCTTATTTACTAGTAACTGATTATTAAATTGAACATTGTTTAAGAATGTTGTCTATAATTCCAACTTTGCTGCGCAGCTATAAATATTCACGAATTAATTACAAAAACTTGGAAATTTATTAATTCTCTGCTGTCGAATTGATTTATTAAGGTGTATTATTAGCGCTTTATTAAATTGAACATTGTTTAAGAATGTTGTCTATAATTCCAACTTTGCTGCGCAGCTATAAATGTTCACGAATTAATTACAAAAACTTGAAAATTTATTAATTTTCTGCTGTCGAATTGATTTATTAAGGTGTATTATTAGCGCCAAACCAGAAGTGGTATCTAGTTTGAGTAAAAATTTTACCGACTGCGATCAGCGCCATCTATGATTTGGGCTGAAAAATCAAGAAAGTAGTAGGAATATAGAATAGGCAAGGAGGTCGTCGAAGAGCTGGTCACGTGACAGACAAGGACATAGAGGGGATAGAAAAGGATAGAAGGGCTCCGGCAGTGAAAAATTATTAATTACTCAATTTCCATAAAAAGTTTGTGAACTTTTATAATTTCATTGCAAAGCTGGAACTTCAGGCTGCATTCCTATATAATTTTCGTAAAGAATTTAGCTTTAAATTGTTAGTTATTAATTTTTGTTTGATAGCATCTGTGATTTCATAACGGGCACCATCACGATTTTCCGTGAAAAAATTTAATACTAAACGAAACTAGAAGCAAAATGTGATCAAAAGTTATATGAGAAGATTCGCAAGAACATTGTTTTTTTAACGAGTGCATAAAGTTTCCTAAATTAATTGCGTAAAGAATAATAATTAATGAAAAAACAATGGCGTCTTCGACAAGAATTCAAACACTTCGTAGAATAATAATTAATAATTAATTAATTGGAGACAAATTTATATGGAAAAATATATTGGAAAGTTCTTAAAGGACCTATCTTTACGGTGCAATTATAAAAGTTCATAAATTAATCGCAGGGATTGAGTAATTAATTAATTTTCTAAAAAAAATTCAAAAAGGAACAGTCAGCGCCACCTATAGTTTTTTATTGGAACTAACGGAGCACAAACTTCTAGATAAAAATCATAGGTGGTGCTGAGCGTTGTTGTTTGAATTTTTATTAGAAAATTAATTAATTACTCAATTTCTGCGATTAATTTATGAACTTTTATAATTGCATCGTAAAGACAGATCATTCACGAACTTTCCAATATATTTTTCGATATAAATTTGTCCCTAATTAATTAATTATTAATTATTATTCTACGGATTCATTGAATTGTTGTCGAAGACGCCATTGGTTTTTCATTAATTACTATCTTCGGCGTAATCAATTTATGACTTTCATGCACGCATTATATAAACGACATCCTGGAGCGTCTTCACATATTACTTTTGTTCACATTTTGCTTCTAATTTCGTTCAGTATTAAATATTTTTACGGAAAATCGTGATGGCCGCCGTAACGAAATCATAGACGCAATTATACAAAAGTTAATAACTAACAATCTAGAGTTAAATTCTTTACGAAAATTATATAAGAATGTAGCCTGAAGTTCCAGCTTTGCAATGAAATTATAGAAGTTCATAAATTAATTACAGAAATTGAGTACTTAATTAATTTTTCTCTGCCGGAGCCCTTCTATCCTTTTCTATCCCCTCTATGTCCTTGTCTGTCAAGTGATCAGTACTTCGACGACCTCCTTACCTATTCTATATTCCTATTACTTTCTTGCTTTTTGAGCCTAAATCATAGATGGCGCTGATCGCAGGCGGTATCATTTTTATTCGAATGGATACTAGAAATCAATTCGACAGTAGAAAATTAATAAATTGCCAAGTTTTTATAATTAATTCATGAACATTTATAGCTGCACAGCAAAGTTGGAATTATAGGCAACATTTATATACAATATTTAATTTAATAATTAGTACTTACATGAGCGATAGGCTTTGTATTTCCTGTAGTAAATAAGATTGCTATAGAAAAGTATTTTCCTTGCATAATATTCTTATTATTTTGTAATAAATATACACTAGCATAAGAAAGCGTAAAAAATAAATTTTTTATCAAGAAATTTTATTTACAATTGTTTATTTACAATGAAAAATGAATACAAAATAAATAATATATTGGAAAAACTATCAAACCTGTGAATGGGAATTTAACGCTCGTCCTCGACTATAGCAATTCTCGATCGTCGCCATTACGATACAACTTAACCTAAAACACAACAGAAATAAATTTATAATTCGGGAAGTAATGAAACTTTAATCACAAATATTTCAAAACCTATTGAGTAATTGTGGCTATAATGATATATTTTCTCAAAGTGTATGAAGATATCTATAAAGCTGTAAAGTTTCAACTAAATCGAAGGACTTGCATTTTTCATGTTAGCTTAATTCCTCTTCATTTAAATATCATTTAAACAGATATTGCCCACTCTCTATTTTCAAATTCCAAAGGGAACATTGAAAATTTACAAGAGATAGGAAATATCTTAAGCTTTGTGCGCAGCTCTTAGCTTGGTATCGTTTTCAGAAAATTATTCTTTGGACACGATACCAATTACCAGGTCTCACCACGTGGAGGTGGCTACGCATCGAGACCCGACATGCGCCCTAGTGGCGCAGCCTGCTGGCGCTACCTGTAGCAAAGGTACCTTAATCTAACTTGGAGCGAATTAAGTTAAAATGACTCTACTGACACTTTATTATATTTCGTGTCTTACAAAAGGGGTTTCGGTTCGTTATACTGAAACTCTAC